GCAAGGGGCCCGAACAGCAGACGCAGCGGCAGGACCGCTACACTCCAGCGACGTGTAGGAGACCACACCCAGCAGCTGGGGCCCTGAGATCCCGCACGCCCATATCCCAGCATCCACATGATGGCTAACAACCATCCATAACTCCAGTTCCAGGGGATCCAACGCCCTCTTCTGACCTCCTTGGGCATTTCACAATATGAGTGCACTATTACACAGGCAGGCAATACACTAACTCACATAAAATAAAAATAATAAATAAAACGTTTTTTTAAAAAAAGGAAAAAGGGTAAGAAAAATAGTGTCTGATAATGAAAAAAAAAACCTGCTGGAACAAAATTGGACCTATGAAAGGTAATTTAAAACAAAACTTAGAATATATTGGAAGTTGGGGCTGGAGAGATGGTTCAGTGGTTAAGAACACTGGTTGCTCTTAAAAGGACCCAGGTTCAGGTCCTAGCACCCATATGGTGGTTAACAACCATCTGTAACTCCAGTTCTAGGGGATCTGAAACTCTTTTCTGACCTCTGCAGACACTGCATGATGTGGGTACACTTGTATACATTCAGGCAAAACACTCATACACATAAAATTAAAATAATAAAAAATTTTAAAAAGAATATATGGAATATATATAGTTGTAAAAACACTGCTAGAAGTGTTTTTTATTTTATTTTATTTTTATTTTATGTGTATGCATGCATTGCCTGCATGTAGGTAAGTGTACCCATGTTGTGCAATGCCCAGTGGAGGACACAAGAGGCTGTTGGATCCCCTGGGACTGGAGTTATGGACAGTTGTTAGCTGCCATGTGGGTGCTGGGATTTGAATCCAGGTCTTCTGCAAGAATAGCCAGTGTTCTTAACCGCTGAGCCATCTCTCTAGCCCTAAGTGTTTTGTTTTTTAAGTGAGGTTGAGGCGTTGGAGCAGCTCTTTTCTGGGTCCTCAAAACTTGGAGACTGTCATTTATATGCATGGGATGGGGAGGATGTCAGCTGAATGTTTTTCCTATGATTCGTGCTGTTGTTGAGCCCATATTGGACAAGTGTCCAATGTCTGCCAGAGCTGTCTTCATCATAGCAGGTTCTCTTCTTTCCCTGCCAGGGGCCTCTGCTGGCCACACTTAGCTTTGCAAGCTGTCAACTGGGTGGGTTGGGTTCTCCCACCCTCTTGACACTCCTCAGATCATATTTGTCAGAGTGGCTAATGCTCTAGTGGCTAACGTATGTTGGGAACGTGGTAAGCAATTATAGTACCAAAGTCTGTACAGGCAAAGGACTGCCTTTCATATTTTATTATTAATATTAACATTTATTTATTTTTTAAATTCCTTAAGTTTTTATTCCTGGTACTGCTACCACAATTTATAGGGCGATATATCTCCACCACCTCCAAAGTTTCCTCCACGGCTCATAAAGTTGCCAGACCCATCACCTTGGCCTCTTTGTGATCCAGCATACTGCATCTCTTGTTTAGAACCGGCATTTTTCACTTCACAGTTATGCCCATTAACAGTGTGGTATTTCTGAATGATTTTATCAACTGTATCATGCTCAACGAAAGTTACAAAAGCAAATCCTCTCTTTTTTCCACTCTGCCTGTCTTTCATAACTTCAGTGGTTTTGATCTTTCTGTATTTCCAAGTAGTTTCTCAAATTGTATTTTTCCTTATCTTCTTTAATACCACCAACAAAAATTTTCTTCGCTGTTAAATGGTCACCAGGCTTTACAGAATCCTCTCTAGAGACAGCTTATTTTGGTTTCACTACACACTCATCAACCTTGTGTGATGGAGCACACGTTGCTACCTCTGTAACACAAGAGTAAGTCACAGAACCAAAGCTCCTAGAATGTTTTGTTTGGGGGTCTCACATTTCCACACAGTCTGCAAGTGTGCCCCATTTCTCAGTGTTCTCTTAAACTATCACCTGTAGTTTCAAAGCTTAGACCACCAATAAACAGCTTTCTCAACTACTCTGGTTCCTTTGGGTAATGGTCCTCCTCCTCCCGGCAGCGATGGCCAGAGTCAGGTTAGGGGCAACCAGCTGGCGGTTTTACCTCCATTTTGAGACTGGAGTTGCCTTTTCCAACTCAAATTCAATATGGGACTGAAACTCTTCTATTATTTTTAAATTTTATTATTTTTATTCTATGAGTTTATTGACTGCATGTGTGTAATTGCAAATGTGTTGTGCAATGCCAGAAGGAAGGTGTCAGATCTCCTGGAACTGGAGTTACGGATGATTGTTAGCTGCCATGTGGGTGCTGGGAATCGAACCCAGGTCCTTTGCAAGAGCAGCCAGTGCTCTTAACTGCTGAGCCATCTCTCCAGCCCCTTTTCATATTTCAAAGACTTCCTGCTGGAGGGATGCACTTCAGTGTTCTTGAGCTCTACAGCAGTGAATAGTGGATAGGTGGCCCCAGAGGTTGGTCTACCCCCTAACTTCAGGGTTGGGGCTAGCAAACCTCAGTGTTACTCTCAGTTGATGACATCTGCTCCTGGCCACTGAGGGTAGAGTTTTGTACTTCACTGTCAGAATTGAGCCTCCTACAATCTGCACTTTACAGCTTATCAGCATCTGGCCCTGCTGCTCTCCACAACTGTTTCCCAGGTCTTGTCTCTCAACCTAATGTTATGGTATTTTGAGACTCCCGACTTATGGCTGTCCCCTCTGTGTGCGTGCACATGCATGTGCGTGTGCGTGTGTGTGTATGTGTATATATATATATATATTTTTTTTTGAGACACAGTCTTCTTGTAGCCCTAGCTAGCCTGAAGCTCACTATGGAGCCCAGGTTGGCCTGGATCTCACAGAGATCCAGCTGCTTCTGCCCTTTGCCTTCTGAGTGCTGGGATTAAAGGCATGCCATCACACCCAGCTGTTCCATGTGTATTTTTAAAGAAGTTTCTATGATAGCAGGCTCCCATCCTGATCTATGCTATATGCTGAAATTTCTTCAGTGAGATCCTAAACAAGATCTCTCTCAAGATGGCACCTGGCTGCTGGGTGTTGTGGTGCGTGCCTTTAATCCCAGCATCCAGGAGGCAGAGGCAGGCAGATTATCTGTGAGTTCAAGGCCAGCCTGGTCTATATAGTGAGTTCCAGGCTAGCTGGGGCTACAGAGAGACCATCTCAACCCCCCCCCCCCCAAGAAAACCCCAAACAAAACCAAACTAACCAACCAACCAACCAACCAACCAACCAACCAACCAAACAAACAAACAAACAAACAGACAGCACCTGGCCACTGCCTCCCAGATCATATAGTGAGAAAATTGATGGGATTCCTCTTCACTTACCTGTCTGCCAGAGGAATCTCTCACCAACACCTACTACTGGATTTGAGGCTCATGGGGGCTGTGGCCTGTCTTGAGGGCAGGACTTGTCTCTTTCACCAGAACTGGTTGGATCACCTTTTAAAATTTAATTTATTTTTATTTTTCTGTATGAGTGTCATATTTCAAAGACTTCCTGCTGGAGGGATGCACTTCAGTGTTCTTGAGCTCTACAGCAGTGAATAGTGGATAGGTGGCCCCAGAGGTTGGTCTACCCCCTAACTTCAGGTTTGGGGCTAGCAAACCTCAGTGTTACTCTCAGTTGATGACATCTGCTCCTGGCCACTGAGGGTAGAGTTTTGTACTTCACTGTCAGAATTGAGCCTCCTACAATCTGCACTTTACAGCTTATCAGCATCTGGCCCTGCTGCTCTCCACAACTGTTTCCCAGGTCTTGTCTCTCAACCTAATGTTATGGTATTTTGAGACTCCCGACTTATGGCTGTCCCCTCTGTGTGCGTGCACATGCATGTGCGTGTGCGTGTGTGTGTATGTGTATATATATATATATATTTTTTTTTGAGACACAGTCTTCTTGTAGCCCTAGCTAGCCTGAAGCTCACTATGGAACCCAGGTTGGGTTGGATCACCTTTTAAAATTTAATTTATTTTTATTTTTCTGTATGAGTGTTTTGCCTGCATGTATGTAAGTGCACTCATGTTGAACAATGCCCATGGAACCCAGAAGAGGGCATTGGATCCCCTGGAACTGGAGTTCCAGATGGTTGTCAGTTGCCATGGGGGTGCTGGGAACTGAACTTGGGTCCTCTGGAAGATAAGCCAGTGCTCTTAACCACTAAACCTGCTCTCTAGCCCTGGCTTACCTTTTTACTGGGGCTCTGCCTCCCTTCCTTCTGCTGGGAAGTTAAACTTCTGTGGCTGTGTTCAGCTTGGCTTTTCAGTGTGTTGCATCTTGTTCTTAGGACTTCTCAGATATTTTATCACTGCTGTTGTGAATTTTCAAGCTCTTATTCTCTGTCTCTTTAAAATAGAGTCCACTCTTTCTTATACTAACTCTCTTCCTTTACTGGATTACATACAGTCATCTTACAGGAAAATCTGCTTTTTAAAAAAATACTATCTCTTTAGCCGAGATAGCCAACTGGCACTTGCTTAGAAAGAATGATGGATCCTGTCTCCGTGTAAACAAGTTTCATTATAGAATTGTAATCCTTGAGTGTCTTGCAGATTTTTTATATTTATTATTTTTATTTTATGTGTATGTGTGTCATGACTGCATATAGGTAAGTGCATCCATGTTGTGCAACGCCCATGGAGGACAGACAAGGCTATCGGATCCCCTGGAAGTAGAGTTAATGGATAGCTGTTAGCTGCCATGTGGGTGCTGGGATTTGAACCCAGGCTTCTGTAAGAACAGTCAGTGTTCTTAACAACTGAGCCATCCTTCCAGCCCCATCTTACAGATTTATAAAAGCATATGTTTTTGTTGCTGTCAGCTTTGGTCAGCAGTTACTGTAGAAACTAACAACTAATGAAACTGCTGAGAATAAACGACTGTTACTGTGGAAAGGTTGGCCAGTCCTTATGGGTAAATAGATGGGAATAATCATGTATCTATATCAACCCCACAAAGGCTCAGAGAAACTCAAACTTCCTTTTATGTTGTAAATTTTATTTGGTATTACTTGAGGGTAATGAAACCAATGAAACTTTTATTTTATTTTTATTTATTAATAGTAACAAAAAATCAGGAATTACAAAAACAAGTTAAATGAAATGTGGAAGCATACTAAATACAAATACATTTTCACAACCACACAGTCAACAGAAATTTGTTGAAATTGTTTCCTGAAGTTTGACTATTTTAACTATATGCATAAAGGGAAGACATTTGGACTATTCACATGGACTTGATAGCAGAGGAAGACCCTGCTTTCCCCAAACTGACAAAACCCAGAGTCCTGGTATACGGGAAGATCTCCATGGACCCTGGATCTTAAGAGACAATATGATGTTTATAAAGACTACAGGCAGAGAAAGCCCATGAAGCCTGCAGTCTACGCCCTAGAGTGGGACTTGAACCCAACGCGATTCTGCTTGTTTGTCCTGTGCAAAGTTCTGTTTAGCAGCTTTTCATGAATGGTCCTCGGATTACACGGATCTATGGTAGAGCAGACAACAGGTGCCTTACTTGCACAAAAGCAACAGAATTTAAGAGGACTGTGGGCTTGCTCTTGGGCATTCGGTGTTGCAGGGTGAGACGGTCTTGATGGTAACCACTGTTCTAAACATGACTGAGTAGACACTCAGTCTTCTTGCTTTAAACAAACTGGTATTTCCGCCCTCTCCCATCATGTCCAAGAACTGGAAAAACTTCCTTTGATTAAGGCATGCTGTTCTGAGTCCTCCAAGGCACTTGGAGAGGGAGTTGAATTGCAGACTGAACAAGTGGGGTTCAAAGAGTTTTTGAATGGGATGATACATAAAAGCTCAGAATACTCAGCAAAGGGAGTTTTCTCCTTTCAAATAACAAGGAAAGCCATTTACAAGGAACTGCATCTCCATTACAACTTTCTAACACTTGCCTATGCACTAAAATCTAAATAATTTCTTCAGAGGGTCTACAGTCTGATTTTTGAAAATGAGATAAAATTTTGATTTTTTGTTATGTTAAATGCATGTGAAGCATGGTGCTAAGGGAGTTTAATAATCACAAACCCAAAGAAATAGAACTGATTTACATATAAATGATTTTCCCCTCAGTGCTGAGCCTTAAGATTCAATATCCATTTTTAACCCCCCTCGAATCTGAAACCTTTTATCCTCCTCTCCAAAGGGAAAGCTCTGACTCCAACAAGAGATTGTACTTATATGCACAGCTGATGGGAAAGTGGATAGTTCTCTTTTACTCTCTCTTTCTGGGCAGATTTACCATGAAGAGTTCATATCCTAGTCACCTGCAAGAATCATCAGACCAAGGGAAAGCTTGGTCATCTTGGTACTGGCTGTCTGACTCGTTCTTGTTCTAACGGGATGGTTTCATCTGTTCTAAGAAGGAAAATCACAAGAACCTATCTCCTTCTCGATCATTTACCTAAACCACAAACTTTTATTATTTATTAAATCTAAGGGTGCATTCTTATCAGTTCACTGAGGAAACCAACACCCAGAAACAGGAAGAGATACAGCCAAGGTCACCCTGTCAGCTGCAGATCACAGAATGTTTGGTAGGCTGGGAAAACCTAAGCCTCCATCCTTTGAAATTTGCCTGAACTTTCAAAAGAAACAAAACAAATTAACTTTTTGGCTCAACAGCTTTCTGTGGTGCTTTGTCCCTGGTTTCTGTGTGAGGTACTTGCTGCCCCTGTCGGCACACAACTGATCTGGAAAGGCAGGAGTGGGGCAGTGCAGCTCTACACTACATCTAGTCTAGTATATAGCAAGGTAAGAGGCCATCTGGGTTACAGAGTTCCATGTACCAGGAAGAATCCCCAAACTCTTTTTACTTCTGAAATGGTAGGACTACTGAGAAATAATTACAAAAGCTTAATATCTAGTCAAGAAAATGAAATACTAAAAATGATAATGATTGAAGAATGAAGTCAACTTGCCAAAAAAAAAGAAAAAAAAAAAAAAAAAAAAAAAAGAAGTTTTTTACAGAGAAAAAGCCCTTTTGGAAAAAAAATTTTTTAAAGTTTTGGTTAGATCTCACAAGACCTTAAAGTACTTTAAGTATTCTCTTAT